GCTACTTACCTGCCTTATCTCTCTCTCTCTTTCTCTCTCTCTCTCTTTTTTTTTTTTTTTTTTTTGAGATGGAGTCTCACTCTATCACCAGGCTGGAGTGCAGTGGTGCCATCTCGGCTCACTGCAACCTCCGCCTCCCAGGTTCAAGAGATTCTGCTACCTCAGCCTACCGAGTAGATGAGACTATAGGTACCTGACACCATGCGCTGCTAATTTTTGCATTTTTAGTAAAGATGGGGTTTCACCAGATTGGCCAGAATGGTCTCTATCTCTTGACCTTGTGATCCACCTGCCTCGGCCTCCCAAAGTGCTGTGATTACAGGTGTGAGCCACTGCGCCCAGCCCTGTCTCTTTTACAGCCTCACAACAACTACAAGACAGAAATACTACTATAAGTCAACTTTTTGCTGCTGGGGAAATGGATGCTTAGTGAATTTAAGTGCCCTGATCAACCAAACCTAGCCAGCTAGGAACAGGCCAGGCCTGGGTGGAACAGGGCTGGCCCTTCTGGCTGCCAGCTGTGGTCCCAGACCGGACTCAGGAGAGAAATCAGATCATTTGGATGGCTAAATGGAGCTTCTCTCTGGGGCAGAGCAGAGCTCATCCCAGGAGAGCTATCCCAGCCTCCAGGGAGCCAGGCTGAGGCTTCCTAGCAGTCTCCAGTGCCATGACCGCTCAGCTGAGAGGTAGGAGGCAGGAGGGCAAGCGATCCCTCTCCACGGCACAGCCTGCGGCTTCTAGGGCACTGAGTCAGTGTGACCTTGTTCTTTTTGCATCTTAGAGATGAACGAGGGGTACTTGCTGTGCTTTGTCCCCGTTAAACAGGCGTGTCCCCATTAAATTTTACCTTTGTGAAAATCCATTCAATGATCACTTGCATTTGGAAGAGGGGGAGAGGGAAAGATGCAGGAAAGCACCTATAATATGGGCAACATGTTACTCCTGGGAGATGAACACAGGTTGGTGGATGGTTAATGGTGCAATCTGCCCCATGGAAACAAGCACATTTCAAACGCTCCAACAGGCTCCCTGTTATGATGGGGAGAGACACCGAAGGAAACACACATGGGAGAATTTTCGTGGTCTTAAGACATCCCATTTTCCTTAGGGGACCCAAGGAAACATGTTTTCAGGGTGGGGCACAGGGCTGTCCATTTATAACTACCTGTCTGCAGGTGACAATGGAGGGACAAATGGCGAAGAGGACATCTTTCTGCTTTCTCCTTTTAATCTACTTTCATGCTCTTTTCACAGGAGTTTTAGGAGGAATTAAAGACTTTTCAACTTTTTTTTTTTTTCAGCTAGGAAAGCAGATTAAGCCTTTTGGGTAACAACAGATTTCTGTAGTAGCAAGGAGAGAAAGCCACTAATTATCCTACAAAATTGGTGTGGATGGTGTTCACCCTAAGATTTTGCTGTTTTTTAGTTTTGCCTTTTTCATCTTTCTCATGAAGGTGGTTTCTTAGGCTAAGGAGGTCCATGTTTAGTGAATTTGAGAAAATACCCTCTCTCTCTCTCTCTCTCTCTCTCTCTATATATATATATATATATATATATATATATTATACACACACACACACACACACATAATACCCTACAAGTGTGTAAAACACTAAGCCACTTACCTGCTTTATCTCTTTTACAGCTTCACAACACTTATACAACAGAAATACTACTATAGTCAACTTTTTGCTGCTGGGGTAACTGAGGTTCAGTGAGGTTAAGAGGCCAAGCCCAGTCAGCTAGGAACAGGCCAGGCCTGGATGGGACAGGGCTGGGCCTTCTAGCCACCAGCTCTGGTCCCAGACTGAACTCTACATATCTATATCTTTATATTATCCACATATTACACACACACATATATATTTTAAGAATACCCTACAAGTGTGTCTTAGCATATGTATATATATTCATTCAAATAACAAACAAAACCCATGGCTATCCTGATATGAGCCATGTAGAGCCAGGCAAAGCAGCTGGAAGCAAGTGAACCACATCAGGCCGATTCTATCTGTACCCTATCACTTCTCAAATTAAAACCTATAGCATCGTGGCCGGGCGCGGTGGCTCACGCCTGTAATCCCAGCACTTTGGGAGGCCGAGGCGGGTGGATCACGAGGTCAAGAGATCAAGACCATCCTGGTCAACATGGTGAAACCCCGTCTCTACTAAAAATACAAAAACATTAGCTGGGCATGGTGGTGCGTGCCTGTAATCCCAGCTGCTCAGGTGGCTGAGGCAGGAGAATTGCCTGAACCCAGGAGGCGGAGGTTGCGGTGAGCCGAGATCGCGCCATTGCACTCCAGCCTGGGTAACATGAGTGAAACTCCGTCTCAAAAAAAAAAAAAAAAAACCTATAGCATCAAGTATTACCTCTAATCTGAAAAACCTCTTAGCTGTGTGATCCAGGCATGCTCCTACTTTATTTATTTGTCATATAATTTAACTCTGGCAACTACATATGACAGAATTAGTTATATTATCCCCATTTTATAGATGTGAACACTGAGGCACAGAGGCACAGAAAAGTCAACTCACATGCCCATAGTCATACACAGCTAGTCAGTAGGAGAGACAAGGTTTGAATCAAGGCCATCTAACCACAGAGTTTCTGCTCATAAAATCCATATCACAGGCCGGGAGCAGTGGTTCACACCTGTGATCCCAGCACTTTGGGAGGCTGAGGTGGGCAGATCACCTGAGGTCAGGAGTTCGAGACCAACCTGGCCAACATGGGAGAAGCCCGTATCTACTAAAAATACAAAAATTAGCCAAGCATAGTGGTTGTGCACCTGTAGTCCCAGCTACTCAGGAGGCTGAGGCATAAGAATCACTTGAACTGGGAGGCAGAAGTTTCAGTGAGCTGAGATTGTGTCACTACACTCCAGCCTGGGTGACAGAGAGAGCGTCTGTCAAGAAAAAAAAAAAAAAATCCATGTCACAAAGTTTTACATTTCAATCAAGTCTGTGGGAAGGCTATATGCAAAGACATTTCTTGTTTCAAAAATACATTCTTTTGGTGGGGATTGGGTGGATTGAAAGGCAAGAAATGTGAAGATAGTTGTATTCCCTCTCCCACCACAAATCGCCTCAACTCTTCATTCCATAAGTCTGTCTTCAAAATTTTCACTGCCTTGAAAGATTCAAATGCTTTTTCTGTCTCAGGTGTAATGCCACGTGCATCGTTTTTCACAAATGTTCTGAAGACTGCCTGTTTTCTTTCCTGTTTTGCTGCCTGTTTGGAATCCTTTTCTCCTCTGTGAGAAGGAGTTTTGCATGCCCCTCACAGGCATGCTACTGCTCAGACAGACCTACATGGATGCCAGGATGCTAAGGAGTCAGCGCCTTGTTCTCTGGGTAGCTGGCTCACGCTGGTTCTAACAGTGCCTATTGATGCAAACCAGGATTTTGGAGCTTGGTTCACAAAGTTGAGACAACTGCAGCTTTCTTGGTTTTGGTCAGCAGGGTACTGGAAGTCACCTGAAAGTATACGTTCAGCCAAACTGAAGGGAAAATCTAAAACAAAGTAAACTGGTGACTCAGATTCAAATTTGGTGGCTGGATGCAAGCAAAAGTTACTTCTCCATGAGGCTAAGCATCTAATATCCTAAGTCCACTGTGAAGCAGAAATCATTGTACCTAGTTATTCTTTTGTTGATTCACAGCAACAGAGAGATAGTGTTCAAATCTTCAGCTTGTAAAAATAAACCATTTAAGTGTGTGTTACTCATCTGGACATTCAAGTATGTGACCATCTGGAGATGGTCAGCCTGTCCCAGGGGAATATTCAAAGTCAAGATCAGAGGTGTCTACCTGGTTATGCCCCAGGCCTATTCCAGATTTACAGCTTCCTGGCCTGGGAAGTGGGTCATGGGATATTTGGAGGAGGTGGAAATGTGGGTGGAACCAAGAGTCCGAGCATGTAGCATGGAGAATGCAGGAATCTAGTAGGTGAAGAAAGATTCTTCTCCTATACAAATGGAAACTTGCTCATTTGTGCATTTATTTAACATCCACTTATTAAGCAGGCAAGATGTGGCCAGCATGGTACCAGGCACTTGTGGATACAAAGGTTGATAAGTCACAGTCCCTGACCTCCAGCAGTTTTTAGGTCAGTGAGGGAGAGGCAAGAAAACTGATATGATTTAATATAATATACCCTGGTAATTGGTACATAGAGCTTTGGAAGTTTGATAGCGTGATCACTCCTGCCATCAATAACTGCCTGGGAAAGACTTCACAGAGCAGACGATTTTGACTTAGGCCTCAGAGGACAGGCAAGGTAGGAGCAGAGCAAGGGTGAGAAAAGAGACAGATGGCAATTCCCCTGGAGGGAAGCACAAAGCAAAGGTGGAGGAGGTCAGACCATTTTTTTTTTTTTTTTTGAGACGGAGTTTTGCTCTTTTGCTCTTTCTTGCCCAAGCTGAAGTGCAGTGGTGTGATCTTGGCTCATTGCAACCTCCGCCTCCCGGGTTCAAGTGATTCTCCTGTCTCAGCTTCCCAAGTTAGCTGGGATTACAGGCTCCTGCCACTATGCTTGGCTAATTTTTGTATTTTTAGTAGAGACGGGGTTTCACCATATTGACCAGGCTGGTCTCGAACTCCTGACCTCAAGTGATCTGCCCGCCTTGGCCTCCCAAAGTGCTGGGATTACAGGAGTGCGCCATTTGGCCCAGCTCAGACCATGTTCTTATTTTTCTTCATGGGGACAATCAAAGATACTGGAATTTGTGTAAATAAGCTATAGGTTTCTCACATTGTTCTTTATAGATTTTTTGCCCCTCCACAGAGTCTCACTTTATTGCTCAGAATGGAGTGCAGTGGCATGATCATAGCTCACTGTAGTCTCAAATCCCTGGGCTCAAGAGATCCCTGGACTGCCTTGGTTTCCCCAGTAGGTGGGACTACAGGCACACACCATCATGCCTGGCTAATTTAATTTATTTTTATTTTTTGTAGAGACAAGATCTTACTATGTTGCCCAGGCTGGTCTCGAACAACTGGCCTCAAGTGATCCTCCCACCTAGGCCTCCCAAAGTGTTGGGATTACAGGTGTGAGCCATCCTGTCAGTTCTGTCACATTGTTCTTCATTAGGGTGTGTCTTATCCCTGTCATGTTTCATGGGGAATGTAGAGAGAAGTGGATTTGAAACAGTTTCTAGGGAGATAGAGTTTCTTTTTGTCAAATATAGATTTCTATTTAGAGGGAGTAGATTCAGCTCTTTTTGTCCTGGGGATTTACCTGAAGGCTTTAGGCAGAGAGAAGGACACATAAAAGTAGACAAGGTTGATCAGAGATTAGTATATGGAGAGCTATGGCAAAAAAAAAAAAAAAAAAAATCCTGTCAGAACGTATTCCTAACTTTGCACAAATGCCAGAAGTACTGGTTCCTCTGGCTTCCTCCTCAGTGCTTGTGCTGATCAGAACAGATACAACATGCTGTTTTGGTTAGTTCCCTATGTGTCTCTCTGTCCCTCCGGGCTGGAAGCTCCTTAGAGGCTGGGAGTACGGCTGATTCACTTATGTTCCCAGCCCCTGGAATAATGCCAGGCACACAAGAGCTCAGTACATTATGAAGGAATGCATGATGCAAGTTTAGAATATTGATTTTTAATTTGTGTTAGTGATAGCTGAAGAATCTGAATATCTTTTTATGTTTGCATTCGGGGTTTTTAATTGGGATTGCATAAAGTAGCAGTCGTCCAACTGGCTCTTATTTATGGTGGGACCAATCTGGCAGAACCGAACAGCCTGGATGCAGATGTTAAACTTCATACTCTCCCTGGACTTTGGACAGTCACCTCCAAGAAACTCAAGAGTACCCAATGTGAACATCACTGTCCAAGAGGCTTTAAATCAATGTTGTCACATTTGTTGCTTGAGTCACTTCTCGGAGTGATAGTAAAGTCTCAATTATGCTCTTTGTATTGGTTATTCTACAATTCAGAGCCATGATAGAATCTCACAGGGCTATAACGTAGCCTTCGTGCACATGTTTTCTTCTTGTAGTTGTTATTTGTCATTTTACGTATAGTCTGAGCATGAGTCAAGTTACTTTCTCAGTTGAACTAAAGAGTGGGTTAAGAAGACAGTATCTGACCTTGCTAGGTGGCTCATGCCTGTAATCCCAACATTGGAATTACATGCCTGTAATTCCACCTTTGGGAGACCAAGGTGGAAGGATTGTTTGAGCCCAGGAGTTTGAGATCAGCCTGGGCAACATGATGAAACCCCACCTCTACAAAAAAAATACAAAGATTAACAGGGCATGGTGGTGTGCACGTGCAGTCCCAGCTACTCGGGAGGATGAGGTGAGAGAATCACCTGAGGCTGGGGAGTTGCAGGCTGCACTGAGCCATGATTGTACCACTGCACTCCTTCCTTGCCCCATAGCTTCCATATAAAGTTTGAATAACTTAGGGAATGGCAGTCACCTGGTTTCTTAATAGTTAGGATCTTACGGTTACTGTCCCAGGGAAAGGTCAAGATCTACGGAGGTAGAGAAATTCATCCAAGAAGTTCTGATGCTCTTGTTTTCACCATAGCTCTGCATTTTAACATTTTCCAAGGTAGACACCAATTAGATCTCGGAAACAAGCTTGAAGAAAAGCATTACATGAGATCAAAACACGATCAGCTCCCTCTGAATTCTACCTTATGTTTTAGACACTCTATTGGCTCCCTGGCTTGGAGTAATTTCAAATTCCCACTGGCTCAGTGGCAAGACATCTTCTTACTCTTCTTTTCTAAAAATATTCTTCTTAAAAAAAAATCTCCTCACCACTTTCTCTCTCTTGTGATTTCTCCTTTAAGAATTCAAATTGCAAAGGACTTCACAAGTGAAACAGAATACATTTTTGAGCATTATGTTTACTGCTGTTCATAGCTCTAGGGAGCAGTAAACATTTTCAGTAAAGAAATTTATAGCTTTTGTTTGCTTTGAGTTGAAAAGACCATGTCAGCCTTGATAATCATTTCAGAGATGCTGGCTTGTGTCTTCGTATCCAGACAACTGAGGTACTATACAAATATCATCCAGTCACCAGCAGATGACTGACTCAAAGACAGGCCAAATTTTGAGGGTTATGGGACTCCAGTAACAAGGACAGAATCAAACTCTCTTATTATCAATACTAAACTATAACTCCTGAGAGGCTGTTATAAGAGACTCAGATCAGATTAAATGACAAAAATGCAAAAGATGGGAAATCTAGCTTTTGGTCAATTGGCAATCCTCCTGTACTGGGTGACAAGTCTATAAAAAAATGGATTACTGCCACATGAGGTGGCTCACACCTGTAATCCCACCACTTTGGGAGGCCAAGGTGGGCAGATCACCTGAGGTCGGGAGTTTGAGACCAGCCTGACCAACATGGAGAAACCCTATTTCTACTAAGAATACAAAATTAGCTCGGCATGGTGGCATATGCCTGTAATTCCAGCTACTTGGGAGGCTGAGGCAGGAGAATTGCTTGAACCTGGGAGGCGAGGGTAGTGGTGAGCCGAGATTGTGCCACACAAGACCGGGCAACAAGAGTGAAACTCTGTCTCTAAATAAATACATAAATAGATAGATAAATAAATGGATTACCTGGGCACCATGGCATTTGCCTGTAGTCCTAGTTACTCAGAAGGTTGGGGTGGGAGGATCATTTGAACCCAGGACTTCAAGTCCAGGCTGGGCAACACAGTGAGACCCCATCTCTAAAATTTCTTTTTAAAAAATGAGTAATCTTTCTTTCTCTCTTTCTTTTTCTTTCTTTTCTTTTCTTTTTCCTTTCTTTCTCTCTCTCTCTCTCTCTCTCTTTCTTTCTTCTTTCTTTCTTTCTTTTTCTTTCCTCTTTCTTTCTTTCTTTCACTTGCTTTTTGAGACAGGGTCTTGCTCCGTTGCCCACACTGGAATGTGTGGCCTGATTATAGCTTACTGCACTCCTGACCTCCTGGGCTCAAGTGATCCTCCCAGCTCACCGTCGTGAGTAGCTGTAGCTATAGGTGCTTGTCACCACACCCCATTAATTTTTAATTTTTTGTTGAGATGGGGTCTCACTATGTTGTCCAGGTTGGTCTAGAACTTCTGTGCTCAAACAATTCTCCTGCTTCAGTCTCCCAAAATGTTGGGATTACAGGCACGAGCCACTGTGCCTGGCTGACAACTTCACTTTCATGATTCTAATATGAAGCCAATATAGTAGCCTCTGCCACCTTGGAGAATTATGTTCATGCACAGGTGTCCATACCTAGGAATCTAAATAATTACTAGGAATCTAAATAATTATTACAACAAATACATCAATGTAATAATCTCAATGCAAACGTTCCTAAGAAATAATAAGGATGGAAGTTCTGTTATTCCATTGTGGAATAATTACAAATACCATCCTTCAACCCATAGCTGTATTCATCGGATACAAAAACAAAAAGAGAGGAAAATGAAACAGTAATTAATCATAAAAGCTATAAATATCTAGATGTTTGTGAGTTTGTACCTGAACAATGGAACACAGTTCCTACTTTGCAACCATAGAACTTGGCCCTGTGCACACAGATTCAATCTGTTTTTCATCGAGGGACAAAACAACATAAGAACTGGTACTATTCCATCACTTGCTAAGAAAGATAAAGCTGAGAACAAAGAGTTAATATTTACCTGTCAAGAAAGCCAGCATTTTAAGCAGTGAGCTATTACCTTGGCATAAATATAAAACTGAAAAAAAAAATACAGAAGTAGAGTGAATTATAGACCTCAGATTTTCTTGGATTTACCCAGCTTTGAGAAAGAGTGACTATAAAAGGTGAAGTGTATCCTGGAGTTGGACTGTCTAGAGAATTGTGTGCGAATGAGCAATTGTGTAAAAACTAAAGTTATACATTTACAAATTCAAAAGATACAAATTAGTTTTATTTTAAACACAGGATGGCAGGAAACTTCCTTTTGTGTGACGTATGGCTGCTTGAACTGTCTTTACTTGCACAAGATGCTCTTCAGTAATCTTCCATGGTAGTCAATGAAAAAATTCTTCCTATGTTGCCAATTTAGTGAGCATAAATTACGGGGAACCTTATATGGAATAAATTATGTTCTTAAGCCTTCTCAGATGTGAAGCCAATAGAGATTTTAAAGCAGAAAACGAAATGCAAAGTGTAGCTCGAAGGGGCATTGGTGTGTATTTGGAACACTCTCTGGAGCTGTTTCCTCTCCACCCCGTGAGGGGATTATAGGGCCGCTTTCCAACCTCAGGCTTTCTTAGCCACATGTGGCTCTTCAAAAACCTGCATGCGGGTTTCTTCTTAGATTTAAATAAAGCGACAAGGAATATTGCAATGTTGATGTGGCAGTGGGCCCGAAAAAAAAAAACTGAAGACTCCGCTTGAGTCGCAGACAGGATAAATAGGGAAAGTATCACTGACCCCAGATGTGCCCTTACCTGACTTGCAAGCCTTTGTTGAGAACCCAGCACTACCGTAACCCTTTTGTACAACCATTGTAAGTGCAATTCATGGGTACTCATAAACTCGAGGTAAGTTTAATTGATTTGTGGCTTTCCACATTGCTGACGATGAAGTGGTTCTTGGCTGTTGAAAGGTGAGAGGGACTTGATTTCAATACAGAGATGAGATGCTGCATTCTCTAAATTGACAGATGGAAATTCCGCTTCAGAATTCATTATTTGATGTAAAGGACAATGATGGAAATTTGAATCTGCGAAACAGTTCAGCAGGTCAAAATACAGTCAGACCCTTAAAAGTTAAATGAATTTGGATGTTAAAATTCATTGGGAAATACATTTATATGGCAGTTTCTAGGTTCCCTGAGAATAATTTCGATGGCCTTTTCTATATCGTCTTGTTTCTGCCACTCTCTCTGCACTACTGAGATAGGCAATCTTGCTGAAATTTTGTGTCTTTGCGAAACCTTGACATTGGAATGGAAAATAGCATCCCTTATCAAAAGATTACAAAGATCTCCATGAGAGATTGAAGCTTTCTTGGCCTCCTATGAAGAGGGTGAGAAAGGAGAGGAAGATCAACCCATCCCTGACCCATGTCTAATTATCTCCTTTCTCATCCTAAGTATACAGCTATATACTGTCTATTAACAGAAAATTAGGTTACAAAATTACATATGTTAATTGTATTTGGTTAAAATATTACCAAGTATGTGAATAACATTTAACAGTTTCCCCTTCTAATCAACCTCCCCTCCATAGTTTTTTGTTTTTGTTTTTAATGTATAATTCATTTTTTGAGACAGAGTCTTGCTCTGTCTGCCAGGCTGGAGTGCAGTAGTGCAATCATAGCTCACTGCCATGTTGAACTCTTGGGCTCAGAAGATCCTCCTGAGTAGCTAGGACTACAGACATATGCCACTGTGCCCGACTAATTTTTAAATTTTTAATAGAGATGAGGTTTTATTACGTTGCCCAAGTTGGTCTCAAACTGTTGGCGTCAAGCAATCCTCTTGCCTAGGCCTCCCAAAGTGCTGGGATTACAGGCATGAGCCACTGGGTCTGTCTTCCTCTTGGTAGTTAAAAAATTGTATCCACAAACTCTCTGATTCTCCCCACTTCAAGAGGTGGAGCCTAAGAACCGGAAGCGACGCTGTACAACTTTGGAGGTTGTGTAGGTAAGAAAAAAATCCATTATGGCTCTGGTGAGGGTGCATGCTTTTTCTCTTTCTTCCTGTCTTGGATGGTTGGTTCCGGGAAGCCTTACAGAAAGGCCCTCATGGTGAGAAACAGAAGTCTCTGCCAATTACCAGCAAGGAAAAGAGGCCTGCCAACTGTGAGAGTGAGCTTGGAACCAGGTCCTCCTACCGCAGTCAACTCTTGAGATGACCTCGGCTCCACCCAGCAGCTTGACTGCAACCTCCGGAGAGACCCTGAACTGAAATCACCCAGCTA